GATTATAATATATAAGTATTCACATTTGCTATCTTGATATGATATCAATTCGGATGAATATCTTTCAAACTCAACAAATTTCTATGAGACTTTAAAGAGAATAGTACATCATTCATAATAAATTTATCCTTTCGGATAATAACATATTTGCTCTTCCGGAGCCTTTAAATTAGTCACTTCAAGTAATAATATATCGACTCTTCTAGAGCCTTTAAACATTTTCTCTTCAAGTAATAATTTATTCACTCTTCTAGAGCTTCAAAAATTTGTCTCTTTAAGTCATGATATAATCGCTCTTATAGAGCCTTCAAAATCTATCTCTTTAGATAATAATATAGTCGCTTTTCTAGAGCTTTCTATTAAATTGATATTATCATATGTAATATTAACATAAAATAAATAAATCAATACAAATAAATAAATAAATTAATATATTCCTCATAAACACAAACAAATAAATAAATATTAAAATAAATTTGTAACCATCAATATACAACATAAATTATAAGAAATATAAAACATTTTATTTATAAATATAAAAACTAACAAGTAATTAATTTCAATTACTATTACTTTGATATATAAAATTAGCCTCTATATTTTATTTTATTTTTCTTTTTCAATGAGGTTTGACAAGGCTTGATGAGGTGCTTTGGTGTACGACGGATACACGACTAATTTCCATTCATACCATCTTTATAACATTCATTTTCGAATGTCGACTTTATCTATTTTTATTCTTTTCTTTTTTTCATAGTTATCCACTTCGGTGATAAGATATAATATTATTGTCATCACAATTATAATGATAATTATTTTGACCATATCCATGGCTATGACCACATCTTCATCCATGTCTAAAATCATTATAAATTATCATATTCACTTCGGGGAATGGAGTAAATCCAATTGGATGAGATTTATTCTTTTTCATTTTATTTAGCCACTAACAAGTATAAAATCGATCCAAAATATTTCTTAAACTCTTTTTCTCGATATGCTATCGCAAGAGCATATCCAAGACATAAAAAGTAGAGAATATTTTTTCAAAATCAAGCACTCATAATCAATAATTCTTATTCAAAATATTAAGAGTCACCAAATCAAGTTTATGAGCTTTGATATGATAAAAATTTTATAATAAAATATATAATAATAATATTACAAAATAAGAACAAATATAATAATAAAATTAAAGCTTTTCAAATAACATATATTAGATAATTAGTAGATCATTTAAATTTTTCAAATATATATTTCATGTATCAATAGATTTAAAGTGCATGAATAAATTAGATACATACCTCTTAATGATCTAAATAATTTAGATCTCTTGGTAGAGCACTTGTGTAGAAGAAATCCAATTGTTGAAACAATTGATTAAACCTTTTAGTAGATACATACCTCATGGTCTATTGTCTCAATTGGTTAGAGCTTCGTGTCGATAACGTGTTATAAAATAAATAGAAATGCTAGAAGAATTGAAGAAAAGGATGACAAGAATATGAAATCACTATAATGTGAATATAAGTGATAAGAACTTCAAAGTTTCTTTTATTCTCTCTACCAAACTTGTACACCAACTAATGAACAATCAAACCTATTTATAGGCTTCAAAATTGATGAGAGAATTGGAAGGACTATGAATAATCAATTGCATCACCTTTTCAATTTCTCATATTGAATAATGAATTGAATCATATTAAGAATTATGACTAGTGAAGATATGAAAAGTGAATGAACATGACGATGGATATTCATTATTTCATAACACATTATTATTATTTATTTTGGTGCGCAGTGGCAGAGGAGAAGAAAGAAAAGTTCACGCAACTCATGCACGCGTGATGCTTTCGATTGCAAAGCGCAGTTCAGCATTGAAATATCTTCAAAGGCTACTTCGTTTTCTGTAGTGCTGTTCGTAGAAAGATAAGATTCACGCAATCTGCAAAATTGGTACCTCGTTTCCCCAAAATAGGAAAAAGCAGGAAAAAGCTTGTCCATATAAAAAGCTGTGGGGCGGAGAAATTTCTTAAAAATAACGTGTAAATTGAAATGCCAAATTTTATACCAACAAAGCAAATAAAGTCAAAGAATTTGATCCCCTTCGTGAAATCTTATCCCATCCTATTCATTTTATGATGCAATTCTTGAAACTAGATGTAATAGTAAATCGATGGTATTAATTCTTAAATCAAATTAGAGTTTAAATTAATTTATTCAGATTATATCAAAAATATATTTAATTTTGAATGATTCGTTGATCATGTGGTATTCATATAAATAAGTGTATTATTGTACTTACATGTGGGTTCTATCTTTATGCTAGTGAGAAATGTACTTAAAAAGTATAAACTAAACAACATTGATTTCTTTTTCTCTGCACCTTTTCCAATCCAGTTTTGCCTGTCATTTTAATATTGCTGCCACTATGGGAATGTTAGGCTGTGTTTGTTTGAAAGGAAATAAGTTTCAAAAACTTATTTTTCTTATTATTTTTTTTATTTTTTGATATTTATTTCATGTTTAGAAAAAAAGTTAATAAAAATTATAGAATATTTTTTAAAATTAAAATTTTTTGAGTTAAAAAAGAGGAAAATATTTTTCCTCTCTCTTATGAGTTGTCTCGCTCTCACGTTACTCACCTCTCTCTCGATATATTTTAATATTTTTTTCTCTATCTCATTTTTATTTAAAATATATCAAATTAATTTTTAATTATTTCTTATCAATTATTTAATTATTTTTTTCTCTATTTCTACTAACATTTGATTTTTTTTATTTATAAATATATTAAATATTTTTAAAAACCATTTTTACATCTTAAAATTATTTTTATAGTAAATATTTTAATAATTTATCTCTATTTTTTTTACCATTATCCCAAACATCAACTAAATTATACTTAAATAATTAAAAATGATTATTACAAGACTGCAATTGTGAAAAATTCGAAACTAATTAATTCGTTAATAAATACATTATTTTCTCAATATTATTTATTTGTAACTAAATCAATAATTTATAATTAATTTTAATCAATTATAAAATTTTATTGATAATTATAATCAATAATTAATTATAAATTATTTTAATATTAATTTTTTATTAAAAATTATTTTTCGTTAAACAAACGTGTTTCAGTAGAAAAGGGGCGACTGTGCTCTTTCCTCAAAGCTTCCAATGAAGAATATGCCCTTAAATATTCGGTTTCTGACGTTGCACGTGCAAAGTTCATTTTCATGTGACTAACGAAAGCCCAATATAAATAATACATACTATCTGTCGGATATACATTACTATAATTATTGTTGTTGATTGCATTTGCATGGTTGTCTGTGTCCTAATTCTAAGCTCGCTCACATCAGGCGTCTGCATGAAGACCCCACAAGATCTTGTGCCCTATAAACTTTTCTGCTCATTTAACCGACCATGGGGCAGAGAATGGTCACTTGGTAGTCATAAACTTGTAGCAGGAGGGTTGATTTTGATGTTATATATATTTAAATTTAAGATTTTCAAATTTTTATTTCTAGCATGGATAATTTGCATTTGATTGAATTATGAAAATAGATTTAGTGTTGATATATGAAAGGTAAGAAAAAAAAATAGTCACTTTGTTAATCCCTATTTATCTGTCACTATTTCCTGCTTAGAGAGAATCATTTGAGCAGAAAAAAGAAGGAATAACAAAAGCGCACAGAGCGTGCTGGATCAAACATCAATCAAATGGGCACTAAGATTCCTAGGTTTTGTAATATCGTACGAGTGGAATATTTTCATCGCCACTTTAACATTAAATTTAGATTGCAATATTGAGTGGCAAAAAAAAAAAAAAAAAAATCTGGATATTATTTGATAATATGTTGATAAAAATATCACTTGATAAAATCTTTTCAATAATTACTGATTGAATAAAACTTATGTGTAAAAAAAAAATATCTACGGATGTGGAATATCGATGAACGGTTCGACCGAGACCTATTTTTCTGAAAGACGAGTCAAAGAAACACGCGGAGAATTATTTTGATATCGACCACATTTTCTAATACCATGAATTTGTTTTTGATAATGATGCTATTAGTTAATTAATCATAGGGATCTAGAAGGGGGAATGAAAGTGGAAAAGCATGGGAACAGGTAAGCAAAACGTACGAAGCAGAAGTGAAAAATGAAAAAAAGTAAGGCCAGCAGGAGTGGGATTTGTCATCTTTTCAGTCTTGACTTTTGGATTTGATTCTCTTACAAAGTTCTCATGGATGGGCGTGGAGGTGCCACATCCACCAAAGTTTTCTAACCTCCTTTTCTCCACCTTCGTAAGTGTACAAGTCGTTGCCCCCACATCGACAAAAGAGTTAAGAAACGGAATTTTCCCACATGAAAAGCTCAATTTTTTTCTCTACTAGCCATCAAGCCATGTCTTCTACATAGCAAAGCTCCCAACAAGCAACAAAATCCAAGCAAATACAACGACAATCTACGCATGTTTAAGCTAAAATCTTTGGATTTAACTTATCAATGTTAGAGCCAATAATAAAATAATTCAATGAATAGTCTATATAATAAAAAAGAAGCCAGCAAAAAACTCATTTTTGTCCCAACGTACTACCCCATTTACAATTTTATCAATTGTCTCAAATCTGGTCAAAATTAGACAAGGTTGTCCATCCGGCCTGCAATGAATCATCAAGCTTTTTTTTCTTTCTTTCTCCCCTCGTGTATTAGCCGTGGAAGGGTGACATTGTCTAATTTGCTACGGGTTTGGGATGAAATTCAAAAAATTAATTGGTTTGGGATGCAATTAAGAATGAGGTAATACGCTAGAGATGATAATGAGGTTTTCCCTAACTACAATTGCATATGGTCAGAAGGGATACTCAATATCTAAAATAAACATTGATTACACTGCTTACGAATTCTTCTTGCTTACATGCTAACAAGAAATTTATGAATTGGGATTTTACATCTAGAAGAAAGTGAGGGAGTGTAGTCTCTAACTCTTAGCTCACAATCTCAACCAACGTTACGGCAGCAAAGACGAGAAAAAGAACTCCTCCAATATAAGCAATTGCCTGTACAAGAGATGGACTAAGTTTCCTTAGAGCATGAAATGAAAATGGGAAAATTCCTTACCATATGTTACTATATTCCTCGAAGAAATCATGGAAAAGAATGATGAAGATGGTCTAGTAGAGGCACAGAAGTCCACTACCTAGATATTCCAACGAGAGTATAGTCTAATGGGATAAACTTTATGCGGTTGCTTCATCATGTTGGTCCAACCAAGGGACCTTTTCAAGGTACAAATACCATGATGTTTCTCACCTTACATTCTTGGACTAGACAATTCATACAAATCTACTGGCCGGATTCCATTTAGTAGGAAATGGCTCCACTAACATTCATTGCACTAAATATCTCTATCAATTAAGAAGATGTACCGACTGGATTCTATATTGGACTAATTGGCCTCAGAACGTTTCAAACATTGGTTATGATTGATCAGGAATTGAACGGTAGAAGTAAGAGATGCTGACAGCATCAACAGGTTCAAACAAATTTTGATGGTAATACATGCAGAATAGAGGACAATTCTGGGCAGCACGAATTAATTCCCACTGTTGATCAAGTGGGACCTACTTGTGGGCCCAACCAGATCAACTGTACGCACAAATCATTTCCCATCATCAATATAAGTAAAACAATATGCGTGACTGCCATTGTTGAAGAGATAAAATCAAGGTGCACTAAGTTGGACATTTTGTAATTCCATGCAGCAGAGACAAGGAAAAGATAGTTTGAAGGATATGTATTGCTTATAAATATACCTTTTCCGATAAGAATGTCCCAAGTAAAGAACCTCCCAAAACTGCAATCTGCAAAAAAGAAAATGTAGATTGATGAGGTCTGGTGTTACATGTGAAAGGAAAAGAGAAAAGGACTAGTTGAATTTGCAAGGGGATAAAAATCTTTTTGCATCGTTACGTATTTGGCACGCATGACTTTGTCTAACAATCAAACTTTCCAAATTGAAAGCAATTTATAATTATAAACTTGCTGCAACATTAACTTCAAAATTCAAAAGCAGAATTTTCATATTCTACAGAAAACTTTGCAATTATGATTTTGAAATAGCTTATTACTGGTGCATCAAAGTAAGGCTTAAGTTTTCTTTCAGGTAGTAATAATTACCAAAGTTGCAACACCATGACCAGCCAGGGCTCCACCAATGACCCCAAGAGGTGAAGAGGCTGCTGCAAGTGCTACATGAGAAGATGAAGATTTTTGTTAGCAAAGCTGATTGCAGGATCACATGGGGGCATGCAAAGAGGTAACCATTTACTCGTATACCGGCACTTGAGAATTCAGTTTGTTAATACAAACTCAGTTTTCCTAGCTAGAAGAAAAGCACCGCACATATTGAATAAAATCATCCAAAATCTTGTTTTCTCTAACAGATCACACCAGACTTTGTTATCATAGCATTTTAACCTTACTTCTGAATTACAAATATGGCCTGCTTTTTATCCTGGGATGAAAATAGCTCATTATCATTACTCCAACTAATTGCTTCTCAGGCTGAAAACACACAATCCAGGAGATGATTTTCATCTACAAAGTGGGGATAGCACCATCCATACTCAAATGTCAATGCAAACGATGACTATTTTTTCTCTCTCTCAGTTTTGTGGCTGATCATTAATCTCAGGCCAGATTTGGTGCAATGAGACTAAGTGCACCTCTACAGTCTAGTCAAAGAACCATGTGCAAATTGATATTCAGATCCAAAAGTCTGCTTAAATAGTACAGTTCTTGATGTTTCACAACAATCAAGAGAGAGAACCAAGGGCTTATAAATAATTGTTTCCAGCAAGTGTTACAATATAGCTGATGATTATAAATTCTCAGCATAGTAACTCACCAATCGTTGAGAAAAATGATTTGTCCCCCCATTCTGCAACAAAAACCAAGAGGAAAGTGCTGATAATGGTGTTTGCAGCAGCTAAAATCCCAGCACCATTTCCCGAAAACTCTGAAACTGCTAACTCAGCCTAATACATAGGCAAAACACGAGGTTAAATGAATAACGGAGAAAAAGAGAGCATTGATCTTTGAATTTCAATGGCAGGTTAATGAAACTGAAATATCACCTCTTTTTGTTCATTTTCTGCTTTCAGACCATCACTCGAGGTGGCATCAATAAGTGTTGAAACCCCAAAGTAGACCTGATATTTACAGCAATTAGCTTAATATATGTCTTATTTCAATAAGTGTTTGTAAGAATTGTATGTTTTGGGTCATCGTAGACAATACAGACTGTGTCTGAGCTTTGCAGTTCAGCTCTTGGTTCAAATTGAACAAATGAAGATTAAATATTTACCAGAAGGCAAACTGCAGCTATATCATCAACAGGCAAATCAGTCTCACCCAACCTGCAAATCAGTAGACTATATTAGAGCAACAATTCACACATATGTTCGAATAAGAATGAAGTAGAGAAAACCCATTGGGTTGCAGCTCATTAGGAGCACTCTTGGAAAGCAAAAGGGGTTAGATCTCAAGTTAAGGTCCTAACCTAAGCAATACATTGTTAATCCCGAAGATCTAATGGAGGAAACCAAGTAAACATACAGAATAGGAAATCCAGTTATCCTTCCATGTCCTATGGGAAAATTATGTAGCGGACCAGTACAAATGGTGCATAACCTTCTTCAGGTTTCTTAATATATCCACTCTATTTTAATGTTTAGTGCATCTAATAGCATAATATTCGATGTGTCTACTCTATCATTCACTGATTCTTAAAATTAAACGAAGTTTCTTAGGAGTACCTGAATGGAAGGATTTCATCAACATAATGAAAAGTTCTTCCAAGAACAACAGATATGATAGTCATCACCCTGCCATGACATACAGGCATTTCTGTAAGAACCAAAAGTATTTTTCCATCTTCATTTTTATAGAAACAAGACAAATAGATTATGCAACAGATGGATGATCACTTGACCTTGAAATACATCTCCTGGGTATTGATTTCAGAAGCAACAACATACAGAATTCATGCAGAAAGGTATGGATTTGAGCACAGAAGTTTGTACTTGAATCGCAAAGGAGTGGACTTGAAACAAAACGGTACGGACTTCATATACAACATTTTGAAGTATAAAGGTGTGAGCTTGAAATATAAAGATATGAAACTGAACGAGTAGGTACAATGTTGCAGTGTATGAAGCTAAAGTATGAGGACATGGATTCCAAAGGCCATAGTTAAAGCACTAAAGACATGGATTTGAATAAAAAAGTTACGGACTTGAACAAAAAATGCATGACCTTGAGCATAGAAGTTTGAGCTTCAAGTACAATGCACGAAGTTAATGCATAAAGATATCAATTGGAAGTGCTGAGAAATGGACTTTATGAACAAAAGTATCGTGGAAGTTTGGAGTTGAAGCACCACCAAACAGTAGAATTTCATTTGCTTATGGATATGATTACTTAGTCTGGGAAAAAATGACAGAACTATGTAAGAATTCTGGCTTCCAAATAAAATTAAAAGTTTAAGGTTGTTATTTTTAATGCATGAGCTTCTTTCCCAAATCAAAATCAAGAAGTATTCCAATTATCTCAGCACAAAGATCAATAGTTGAAACAGATCATATAGAATATAGATTCCACTATCATTAAGTTCAAAATGAAAAGGACATCTAAATCACCATGCTTGAGCAGAAAACATACGCAAGTGCACCAAAAGTCCCTGTGAAAACAACGGGAGCAGAATTCCTAGCTGCTAATAGTGCCTGCACAGGACATAAAACATCCCCCATCTTGAGCTTAGGTTCTATCTTCAGTGAGGTGCTTGTTATTCATAATAGCATAGAAGTAGCATAACACTGGAGGTTATTTCGATCATCTTGTGTCTTTTCTTTAGTTTAAATTGGCAAATACACTACAGAGAACATCAATAAGGCATTTGGGATTGAAAATGCACATTGCTTGGAGCATTGAGAAGTTGCGGAAAAAGCCTTCATTTTAACCTCTCTAACCAGGCCAGACAAATACACAGATGCAGATTTCGAACAAGTTTGTAATAGACACACAAGCATGACACTCAATAGGCAAAACAAATGGGTTCGCCTCATTCATTAGGTTGCAAATAGAAAAGATTAGAGAAAGATGTGTTGCATAGATAATGAAGTGTCACTTGGTAATTCTTAGTCACTTACTGCGATAAAAAATGTCTTATCCCCAAGTTCTGAAAAAAATATAAGCAAGAATGCCTGCAACCAAAAACAGTTGCAGTGATGATATTAATTAGTTGTTCTGGTGAAAGGAAACATGAAAAATTCTTGCAAACGGAGTATATACCAAAACTTCAAATAAAATTACATTTCTAGCTTCTATGCATAATAAAATGTCAGTTGTAAAAGACATAGGGAGATTCTCCTAACTGAAGCAAAACCTGTGCTAATATCACCAAGGTCCCCGACATAAGGAATTGATTGAAATCCACTTGAAATATCTATTCCAGCAACTGCCGGTTGAGAGCCTTGAAGTGTTAGATACCCAAACATCAACATAAACCTCAGCAAACCACCATATGATGTAGCAGAAGCCACCATATGATGCTCCCTTAATGACTTTTTCTTCACTAGTGATTTATCTGAAACTGAATCTGTAGTGCCTTGGTAATTCTCGCAACCAAGGTCCCGAACCTCCTGCGCATAGTTGAGCATCCCCATCAAAATCCAAAACAAGAGAAGGGGGCAAAAAAAAAAAAAAAAAAAAAAAAGAAGTAAACCTTTATATCAAAATTGGTAATTTTTTTCGTAATAGAAATGCAAAAATACTTCCATTCAACTGAAAAAAAGAAAACAGAAAACCAAATATATAAGCCACTAAATGGCATTGGATTATGCTATCAAGAAAATAAAGTTAAATTGTATTTTAGATGTAGCCTGTACATGCACTAAGTGTATATAAGATAGTAAAAAGAAAAGTTTTTATATGAGGAATTTGTGTTTAGTTATACACAACAATCAAAAACTGCAATCTCAACTCCTTTAAGCACCAAAATAAAAATAAGAAACAAACAAAGGAGAAAAAGGTATTCAGGAAACGTTGCAAGGCCATCCCAATTCTTAGAAACCTTGGATAAAACAAGTCCAAATGCCTCTTCAACTGAATTCACGCAGCATTGTCTTGAAAACCTGCACAAGAAATTTTGGTCATTGCAATATGCAAATTCGACTACTAACTAAATATCCCATCAGTTCAGAATTCAGTATTTCCTGCTGAAACTTGAAACGTAACCAGGGAAAGAAACGCAACAAAATGAAGACAAAAGAGGAAGTTGCAAGTCCAACAAGGCATACATACCTAGAGAAAATAAAACTTGGGTTGTTGCCATAGGAATGTTTAGAAGACTTTCGTTTCTTGGAGAAAGAATTCAAAGGAAGTAAGCAAAGGATTTGTGGCTTAAAAGGCTTAGGACATTGGGGCAGTGAATGTGCCCTCAGACTGCTCTCTGAGAGCGTTAAGCTTGGCATCTCTCTCTCTCTCTCTCCGTCACTCACTCAACTGCTTTTCTGTGGACCTTTGGTTCTCTCTGTTTTTATGAGATGATGGATAAGTTATCTGTGTTGGATAGCGCCAACACCGTTTCTCTTTTTCATTCATAAGAACAAATTATAACTTAGTTTTTATATTTTTAAGAAACTAATGAATTAGTACTTTTAATTTTAAAATGTCCCATGTTCAATCCATATATTTTCAAATTTATTTGTATCTTGATCTCTCCTTTAGTTATCTGTCATTAAGGTATTGAGTTATCAATTTAGGTATTAAATAAAGAAAAATAAAAATGAGTCTGTCAACAAGTCAGCAGTCAAAACTGGTCAAGGGATTGAAATATAATTTATAAACTAAAAGAATTATTTCGTCATTTTATTAATAAAATAGGTACTAAGTAGTTTACTCTTTGCAAGTGTGCGTGGAATTTCTTGATTGCTTTATTTATTGGCCTTTGGGCAGTTGGGCTTCAAAACTAGTACAAATATGGGACAGAAACTGAATAAAGAATCATAACTTCTTCGGGTATTCTCCGAAAAGCAGTAAAAAAAAAAAAAAAAAAACAAAAGCCTATATAAATAAACATGCAGATTTTACTGTTTTTACCATCCGAAAGTTGAGTGCTTTTATATAATTAAAAAAAAGATTTTCCGTTTTCATGACCAGGCAATAGTGCAATAATTAAATTTGGGCTTTTAACTAATTTATAAATTTTACAAATTCAAGGGCAAACCTCATATCAGTCTCCTAAATATCTACCATTTATCATATGGGTCTCCAAACTATATGTCAATTTACTTGATTGAGTCTCTAAACATTCCTCAATTAAGAAGTTGTTGGGACTAAATTGAGAATAAGTTCATCATTAGGGGACTAATTTGAGGTTTGGCCTAAACCCAAATCCTAAAATAGATGGATAGAAGTTTTCTTTTTCTTTACTTCATGCTTTACGGTTTTAAGACATTTAACTCGCAAATACAATATCTAACTTACTCTTAAACATAAGGAAAAAAATTTCCTCGTTATTAATTTACTAATAAGCCTCCGACTAAAATGAAACTAGAAATCACAAGTTGTATAAAGAAAATAAAAATAAAAATCACAAGCTTAGAGATCATTTGATATTATTATTTTTTTAAAAAAACTTGAAATGGACTACGTTATGTTTTTTTTTTTTTTTTTAAATGCATTTAGTTTTCCTTTCTTAGTTCGAACCCTGATTTTGGTCTTGGCTCGAATCTTGGATGTCCTGAATTCGATTTTGATTTGAACCCTAACACTAGTCCTAGCTCGAAACATAGGCACACCAAATCGAGTCTTGATCTGTGCACTGATATCGATTTGAACCGTAGCATCGATCATGACTCAAATCTTAGATCCTGATTCAAATTGATGTGATCCTAACTCGAATCTTGAAGGCTTCGAAATAGGTCTTGATTTTTATCTCGAACACCTCGAACTAGGTGTTGGTCCAAACCTCAGCATGATTCATATCCATATCTTGATCGACTCTCGAACTATGTAAAAAAAACAAATTATTGAAAACCACTTTTTTTTTTTTCAAAAGTTTTCAAAACATGTTATTTTTTTTTTTAAGAAAATATATTTTTATCTTGTTTTTAAAAACTTGAAAATTAAAGAAAAAAACGAAAATGATATCAAACAACCCTGATCTAATAAACCACTCATCTCCTGATCTTAGATTTTTGTTGCCTACTAAATTTTGCTGTTAAACATACGGCCAAATACCTAAATATTGGTGGTTAATTTGAAAATGATTTAATTTTGCTGTTAAACATACGGCCAAATACATATTGGTAGTTAATTTGAAAATTATTTCCAATTCTCGTTTACAGTCTGCTGCAAAAGGGATTGCCTTAATTTTGTTTTGTTTGTTGCATATAGTTAATTAGACTATTTTGGTTTTGCCTTTTACGATTTCTTTTAATTAATGCAAAATTTTCGTTCATAAAAAACAACTCCTTTTATTCACAGAAAAAAACTAAAGAAAATTAAAGATTAATACTCAAGCATTTTTTTTTTAAATCAAAAAACGTACATACAGAAACAACCATAAAATTGCCAATTGAGTCGTAGCTCGACATCTATTACCTTAGCTAAAAACCAGACCTATTACCTTCATTTAGATCCCAGTCTCCTTGCCAAAAAAAAAAAAAAAAAAAACATAAGAAGAAGATTTCATCACTCAAAATAAAGCACAACAGAACCAAAACCATATAACAAACTCCGGATCCTGTGCTAATAGCATTCGTATAATTTAACATCAACACGTAGCCGGAAGTACCGATCATCCTCATATGCATCGGTCATCAATGTTGCCATCCCTCGAGTCATGAAGAAATCGCCGGTACCGCCAATCACCGACAGATCTCTAGTAGTCTTCATGATATCATCTGCCCCAGCAAAGTTTATGGTGCCCTTAAGCTGGGTAGAGTTGAAAACAAAAGAGAAACCAAACCAAGCAGTTAAAATTTCTTTCTTGTCATACAAGTAAAACCCTTGTGCACGTCCGATTGGGGTTGAACGAAAATTGTTGTCTAGAGTAATGGGGTCATCAAAAATAACCATGTCCCCAAAACGATTTGGCACTGCCAAATTGGTTCTGTTACCCCAAGCTGGTGAACCCACTATTGCTGATGTTGCATTCTTTGCATTCTTTCCATTGTATATGATGTCATGGAAGTAAAGCACTAGCCTTTTACATGGCTTGCGTCCTCTAATTTTTTTGCTGTTGGCAATGGAGCTTGAGATTAGAAGAAAGAGGAGAAGGGCTAAGATGAGTTTGGTAGCTGTCATTATTAATCTTGAGTGTATCAATATGGCCGGTAATGCTAGAAAAGAATGCTTTGAGGAGATCGGATTGGTATGCTCTAATTACCTAATTTATAAGGGACATTTCACATTAGAAAATGGATACTTGGGCACTACGTTTTTTTTATAAATAACAACAATAATAAAAAGATATGTAGTGCCTGTAATTATAATGGACAAACTTGTGAAGTTGTCTGTCTACTGCAAAGTTGGACATCATGATTGTGGCACTACATATCAAGCTAAGAACATAACTGGTTGTCGATACCTGTCGTTACCATATCCTTTTTTGGTCATCAATAGATTGCCACAGATAAGAGAGGATTTGCCTTTAATAGAGCACTAAAGCTATTGTTTTGTTTTATTATTCAATCTTCCGTACTGCGCATTAACCAACATGTAAAGAATCTAGGTATTTTTTTAGGAATCTTCATTTCACAATTTTGGTGGCAAGGTGAATGAGATCTTGGAAAATCACATCATGCTTGGTCCATGTAATCCATTACTTAAACTTGGATTCAGCTCCTCCACTGCTTTTCTTTCTTAATTCTGTATTTTTCTTGTCCTATGTTCAGAGACCTTACTGTGTACCCATATTCTGAACCTTTTTCCTTCCCCCACACCCCACACCCCACCCCACCCCCTCCCCAATAGATCTAGCAGAGTGTTAATATGGTTCGCCTTATTGAATTTACTTTTACATTTTTTTCTTTTTTCTGTCTCAAAGCCCTTGTTCAGCATTCTTGACTACTGAAACAACTTTGTTGTGAAAATAATTATTCTGTCACTTTTGTTGATACTACTATTTTTATGAAGGACAAACACACGGGAAAAACCATTCTTAAGTCTTCTTCATTAGATGATCACCATCCTATTTCCTCTTCCTTTATCACTTATTCGCCTCTTGCATTGGTTACTTCCCCTGTCTTTTTTGGATACTTAGCACCCGCACCTGGACATCCTCACCAATGTGTTATGGATTGCCTACGTCTGTTCGTATCTTTGTCCAAATCCAAGTCCATCACCAAAATTTGCACTTCTTGTCAATTGAAAAATTTAATGCGATTATCTTTTGAGTTTGTTAAGGGTATTTGATAATCTATCTAAGTAGATTAAGAAATTAAGCTATAGTACTTAATATAAAAAGTTTATTTGATAAATTAAATAATCTCATATTAAAAATTTAAGTTCGATCAAAATCTACTTAATCGGATAAGTTAAAATTTTTAATTTATTACTTTTTTATTAACACACTCGGTTGAAAGATTTTTAAAACTTTTCAAATATGACTATATCGCCCTTATATATATATATTATAACTTTAGATATACAAACCAATTGAAAAATAATCTCTACTATTCCTATTGCTAAAATAGAAAAAACCTTTTCCTGCTACCATCCCGAATACGAAATGCCAATTAATGTTATCTTAAATCGTATTTAATTTTTTTTATTAATATTTATTTATTTGTACACACAAACACATCTATGTATATATTTTTATTTGTATTAAAAAATATCATGTTATAATCACAAGATTAAAATTGTTGTGTATACGACCTTAATATGTTCAACAACGAGTACTTACCAAACAAGTCTATTATATTCGGTACTTAATTTTCAAGAAATACCAAATAGCTTATCGGGAACATATTCGGTATTTAATTATTTAGTACTTAAAATTTAGTATTTAATAGATTCGACACTTAATTTTCGGTTTTATCAAAGACCTAGTTTCATATTTAGATTCCTTTATTTATGATTCATTCATATGTTTGGACGTCTTTAGTTTTGTCGGATTCGATTTCAACTATTTTATTATCTTTATTGATGACTATACTCGATATTACTAGTTATTTCCAGTAAAGAATAAATTAGAAGTGTTTAGCCATTTTTTTTTTTTTACTTTTTAATCATTTGTAGAAAACTAATTCTCCGCTAAAAATAAAAATTTTCAAAATGATTGTGGTGGAGAGTATTTTAGTAATGCTTTTCAAGCCCATTTGAGTGCTTCGCGTTCACCATCAAATGTCTTGTCCGGATACTCCCACAACAAAATGGCTTAGTTGTGCGTAAGCTTCAACAACTTTGTTGGCATACATAAATTTAAAAGCCATGTGTCAATTGGAATCAATGTGCGTTTGCACACTAAAACGCTACATTTTAATCAAAATGATGTGTTTTCAAGATCTTAAGTAAAATGATGCGTTTAGTTTCACAAACCAATCAATATCAACGAATAGAGGTTAAGATAAAACCCGATAACTATTCGTGTTCAAATTTAAAACTCCAAGCGAGTTATTGATCAACAAACTGTTTAAAAGAAAGAAGATGAAGAGAGAAAGGGACATGAGATTTTACTAAAAAATTCTTTTTATCCAACTTGCTTTGTAGAATAGTTTCATATTCATGTAAGTTATATTTATAGTATTTGTCTTTCTTTTTAGTAGTTTAGAAGTTTCAATTTTAATTGTGATCGAATGACTTCAATGTCATCGGATGTAAGTATTATATATTTCGATTTATAATATTTATATCTCAATTATTTCTTTGAATGTTGTTTCTTCCGAGTACTAACATTCTTGCTTATTTCATTTAATTAATCAAATCGAACCATCACGGAAAAGTCCTAATAGCGTACTTAGGTGGCATTGAACCCCTTTATTTCCTTACGAAAGATTTGGTTATAAATTAAAGTGTCGATCTACTCCACACTTAAGACCAAATTCGACGAATAGCAACAAGTTTTGACAACCACGGTAGGAGGTCAATGTCGAAGCATGGTGTTACTAGAAGTATAATGAAACGTCTAACCTTTGGAGAGCACCAAATCGAGGAAGCAGTTTCGTTGAAGGAATGGTCTAAGTTTGTGAAGGTGTACCTTTTAAAGAAAATGAAAACATAGGAAACCATACTAAGTGGACGGACTATGGATAATCGAAAGGAATTACCTAAAGAAACGACATATAAAAGCCATAATAATGGTCGAAACAAGTTTGGTATCGAAGTCGAAACTCGAAGGGAATGATACCTTTACCAATAGGAGATAAAATGTTACGGCGAAAGAATGAAACTCGAACGTGTGACGGATGTTGTTGAAACAAATAGAGAAACTCGCTGAACAAAATCTATGATCTAATAATAGACATAGGTACTTGAATAAATTGACACTTACGAGTTGGTGTCGAATCAACTTGAGGAAGATATCAACAAAATGAGGGCTTCCATACTTGAATCATCATAAAAGAACATCAATATGGCTAATAACCACACTATTGAACTAATAAAATGTATGCGTTATCACGACGACCGAGTGATTGCAAATATGAATCACTTGTTTAATGAAACTATTGGCCCATTGGTAAGAAAAATGGTTAAAGAAGTGGAAATTGCCATCGAACTAAGGTTCGACATAAATGCAAGTACCACTTGATCGATGAGGGAAGATGTCGACGCTTATTAGTTCCGATAAAAGGAAAAAAGAAAGAATCATTTGAAGATAGGCATGGAGTATTGCCCATCATGACAACAAATATTCCTCAGAATACTTACCTATTGTTTCCAACGAGCATTCGACAGCGAAGTGGTCAAGATCCATCATAGAGTATGTATGGGCAAACCTATTATGGCCAAATTAATGGCTATCCTCTTCATCCACCCTCATATCCACCCCAAGTTCCTTCCGTCGACCAAACTAATGGCTATCTTCCCCATGCATCTCCTATTAGCCAAACTAATGGCTATCCTCCTCGAGTACCCCATGTTAGCCAAAATAATGGCTATCCCTCTCAAATATCCCCTGTTAACCAAGCTCACAGTTACCCTACCGCAACACAATATTATAGCCTATTCCAAATATTCCTTCAAGACCTATAAATAATTTTCCATCTGCAGAATATGCCAAATATGGCCACGACGATAGGAAGTAGTTGAATGCCATAACTTGGTCTTGGAAATGCTTGTGGGGATATGAATCGGAAGTATTAGCCAACATGATTAAAATAATGTATGGACCTCATATGCAAAGGGTTAATCAATCTGTTTATAGGAAGCCATATCCCGATTACATCGATTGAGAATACCCTTTTCCAAGAGGATTTAAGGCTCTTGAATTCATGTTTTTCTTTGATAAAGATAATGTTTTTACTTTAGAATATGTCACTAGGTTCACCTTTCGAGTGTGGATAATTGTCGGGAGATGATTTCTTGAAGTTGCGTCTTTTTCCCAATTCTCCGATCGTTGTTCGTTGCTTTCACATGGTGCATTAATTTGTTACCAAATTCCATCATTATATGATGGGATATGCATAATGTTTTTCAAGCACATTTTCAAAAGCTGATCCTAGGGTTTCAATGGCGGAACTAGCAAGTTGAAACAATTTTAGGTTGAATCGACAGAATAATTCTCGTCAAGATTTAGGAAAGTCTGGAGTTCGATATCGGATCAATTTGCTTGAGAGTGAGTTCTTAAGTTTTGCTCGGGATGGTTTAGATTTTAAACTTAGGAAGAAATTCGAAGGTATGGTCTTTCAAGACCTATACAAGTTAACAAAAAAGCTTCTAGGTTTGAAGCAATCCTACGAGAAAAATCACTTTAAAGAAATACTATGGTTGGAACGTATTATCAAGATTATACCATAGTAGATGTTGACTTTGCAGAATATATGAAAGGAAAGCCAATAGTATGTAAATAGTTGGCTAGGAAGAATATGCAAGCTTCTACGAGTTTCAAGTCCAAAGAAGATCGCAAGTATTATTTCAATCTGGACAAAATAGATTTAATTTTTGATTGGCTTTTAGCTAATAATAGGATTAAACTCAAAGGGAAACATAAATTGCCTACTTCGAAGAAATGAAAAAGGAGAAATACTATAAATGTCAAAGTACTATATCTTATTCGACCAACAATTGCATCTTATTTAGGAATTTAATTCAAGACTTAATAGAGTCAAAAGAATTAACTTTTCTTGAAAAATAAGAAATTA